CCCTATTAAATACATTAGAAAAACTTCTCCAATACCATAAATTACTATGAATTGAAAAAATTTTTTTTTAGTTTCTGCACAGGGCCCCCAAAAGTTACAGCACGGCGCTGGTCTGATAATTATAGATAGTATACTGGTGTATACTGGTGTAATGGTATACTGATAAGTATAGATGGTATACTGGTGTCTGATAAGTACAGATAAGTACTGGTATTCTGAGGGAGCTTGTCAATTTATGGGAGCACTCTGGGTTTAACGATGTTTCATTGTGATGGAGCTAACCATCAAGGCCAGAATCACCAAGAATGTCAAGGAATACCACGATTCAAAAATGCTAAAAACACTAGAACTACCAGAGGATAGCTACAAAAAGAAGGTGAACACTTTTTTGAAAGACCAGTGCTCTCTTCTCTATTAATAAAACAAACATATTTGATTTAATAAAAAGTGATGAAAATAGGGATGATGAGACAAGAAGGAAGACATAAAATTCTTTAGGTTTTGTCTAAGAGGGGATATGGTCTAATTCAGGGATATGGTCTAACACGGAACAAGAAAAAATAATTAAAATGTCTGAGAAAATCCAAAGGCATAAAGATAAAAATAAGAAAAAAAAGAGTAACTATTCAGACAGTGACTTTTCAAGCACAGATAGTGACTATAAAGCTGAATGCAACAAACTATATTTACCTCCAGCTAAAGTCCAGAAAAAACAGAAAAGGTTTCTGAGTGACATCAAAGTTTTCCTTCAGTTAAGTATGGAAGACATTCTTCACAATTGGATTCCAATTATGACCGGAATGAGATTGGAGTTAGACCGGGTATGTGTCTTATGTCTTCTCTTTATAAGGCTGGTGGAGTTATATTGATAATATGTCAATATCAAGATAAACTCTAAACAGGAAAACTCATGATGTTGTGGAGTCTGAGGCACAGATAATTAGAGAGGAAAACATAGATAAAATAAGAGGTTTAAAAATTGTGCTACATTTCTATACCAAGGTTTTGAAGAAATACTATCGGGAAAAAGGAATATCTAAAAATGAGGATAGAATTGCCATTAGTGCATCTTCACCAGAGTCTGGTCCACTAGACTTTCTCCATGGCATCCTAAAAATAAAGAGCTCCAAGGGAAGTGATCAAGCCATTGCAATTCAAATAATGCCTGAATACTATGAGATGTCTGATCAGATTATTGGATTATGTTCTGACACAACATCCAGTAACACTGGCAAAAATAAAGGTGCTGTAAGCAATATTATTTCCTATGCCCTTAAAGACCAAAAAAATCTGGTTCTTCAGTTAATGTACAGACATCACATCTATGAAAAGCATGTGGCTCATGTAATGAAAAAAACTTTTGGTCCAACAAGTGGTTCCAGCAATAAACTTTATGTTATTCTCTAAAAACTATGGCTGCAGATTTACGAAGGTGTGAGAGAATTGTAAAGTTTGATTGGTTTTAATATTTTTAGGCACGGCTCACTACTGTTCAAACTTGCCTTGGATACTAAAGAGTTCTGTATCACAGCTCTTCATAAGAATACTTTCCAGAAAGGTGATACAATTATCTTTGTGAGCTTCTGGCATTTTTTCTAGGAGCTGAGCTATCGAACTTTTCATTTAAACAGCCTGGAGCTCATCATTAAGCAAGATTTATGGCTGACGGTATATACTTACTGGTTATTCAGATGATGGTTTAAAAAAATACAATAAACCATCTGAAAGCTGCAACCAACTACATTGTATTTTTTCATGGACTCTTCTTTCTAAAAAAGCCCTAATGCTTTTCAAGCGCCATCAATAGATTTAATGGCGTTCAATATTGCTTTTCAGCTACAAACAGTAAACGAGATTAAAGAATTTGCAGCAGTAGGATTAGTTCTTTACCAGAGTCTTATGCGTCATACTTGGTATCTGTCCTCGCAACAAGTAATTTTTTGTTCTTGCTGATAAGTATCTGAAAACCGAAGTTAAGACCAACATGTTAAACAATCTGCTTTCTTATGAAATCTTGTAGTTAAAAGATCTAAGTAAAAAGAGGTCTGGAACTAAGGTTGAAATTATTCCTACATCAAAATTAGAAGGCTGTATCAATGAGCAGTCCTACCTTTTGTTCTTGCTATTAGAGATCTCCAAGAAGAAATCTTCTGCTATGGAAAGAAAAAGGCATTGAAGCATGTGAAAATGAGGCAGTTTCCCAGTCATTCACATATTTTTCAATTTGTATAAAAATACTTGCAGTTGTAAATAACCGTGCAGAACGCCACATTAAGTTAATTCAAGATTTCATTGAGAGAGCACACAATGAATTTAGGCTTCAGAATACTCTCCAAGTATTTTGTAATAATATGAAATATAAATGGAATTTTTAGTTGTTATTAATAATAATGGATGTATAAGTAGTACTTTTTATAAATTTATGTATTTTTAATTAAGGTAGCTCAGAGGAACCGGCACAAGATTCCAAAGAATGCTACAAAAAAAGATTTTAAAATTATTTAGTTTAATATTATTTGTATTAATAATATTGGTTTATGTTATATTACAATATTATAATGAGATAAATTTTTAGAGTAAAATACTATTTTTTTTTTTTTTTTCTATTTTGTTTAATGATAAATTAAATCTCTAAACTTGATTTATTACAATAAAGTTAAATGAGCAACCCCCTCAAATTGAGAGGGAGGGGGGTCAAACTTTTTATTGTTCATAGTTTTCGAACGCTAAAAGATTTTTGTGTCAGTTTTAAATTTTATCTATTGAGAATAGTAAAAAAAATAATGTATCAACTTGTTGCTCTTACGTTTGGGGCAGCTCTAGCTAAAACTTAGGGCTTTTTTGTTCCCAGGCTCCATTGCAATTTTTTGCAAAGCATCCTTATTTGACATAAGTATAAACATATAAATGTTTGGAGTTTGATCCATGTTTGTAAGTTAGTAATCTCAAATGTTAAAAAATGCTGTATCCACGCTGAGCCTGAATTCTTAAAATTGTTTGCTAAAATGTTCATTATTTGCATTTAAAACAAATTTCTCCTTAAAATTGAGGATTTATTTAGTAACAAAAATTCATTTAAAGATTTTACAACAAGTATATTTGTTTGTTTGATATGCACCATTAATTTTTTTGTTTATTTTGATAACAATGTAATCTGGATAACATGAATAAAGTCATTATTAAGTCAAATTTTACTTAATAAAATAAAAGTAAATTCATCTAAATAACCTTTTGCTTTAGCTAGAGACTTAATTTTTTTGTTTGTTAGTATTTATGGACAAAATAGTGCCAAATATGAAAATTTAATGTATGATTCCGCTTATGAAAATTTAATGTATGATTCTGGGACACCCTTGTGTACAGTATAAACTACATAAAAACTGAATAGGTTTGAAAAAAATGCAAAATTTTTATAGCCAAAATAAATTTGTTGTCTTTGTAAGGTCATTATTTATATAGTTTGATTTTAATAGGCATCAAATGACTGTTGATAGGCAGTATTTTTTATATGATTTGATCTTGGCCGAAGGATCTAGAGCTTCAGTTTTAGATAATTTTATTCTCTGATAATTTTATTCTCTGCTGTTTTTGGTAGCTAAAAAAACTGTGGGAAAAAAAAACCCTCAATAAAAACAAATCGTAAATAATAAAACATTTGAAAACAAAGAAGCTTACAAAAGAAACTAAAAAATAGAAATCATTAATTATATTTATATTATTTACTAAACAAACTTTAGCAGTGTCAAATAAGGTCTTGGTGACATCAAAAATAATGTCATTTAATGTTTTTGTTCATTTATATTCTTTTGTCTATATTTTATATTCTTTTCTCTATATATGAACTTTCTGTTAAGTTTTAAAGTTTGTTTCTTCGATTATTTTTTCTTTTAAAACATTTCCTCTTTTTCTTCTTAATGTTACTTATTTTTGTAATTTTTTTCATTGATTAAATTTTTATTTGCTATTTTTCTGTTGATAAAGATGGATTATTACGTTATCAATCAGTTTTCTTTGTTTTTCTTCCTCTTTTTCTTCTTTTCTTCTTCAAATGTTGCTTATTAAAAACATTGTTTTATTTCACACAATTTTATTTGTTAAAATCTCCCCACTTTATATCTCCAATTACATCTTTATTTTAAAATATTAAATTAAATAAAACGTGTTCCAAATTCAAGAAATAAAAAAGTTGTCACACGCGCAGAATTTAATTAGTTTTAATATCAAAAAAATGATCCACTGAATTCCAAAAAAAATGTTGATTAACATTTCTTGTTTTAGAATATAAAGGGATTGCTGCGGTCAACTGCGATATTGGAATTTATTAAAGAAATACAAATGTTAATGAAACCATAAAATTACAGGAAACCTGTGCTGGAGTTAATAAAGGTTATTTAGCTGGTCTTCTTGCAACTAATCTAAATTCATGATACAACATTCTCCTAATTGTTCCTGAACTATAGTAATACCTTTTTCTGTAGCACGTTGTTTTTGACACAAATGTGATTACATTCTATGATGTAACCACATTTTCTGCCACAATTTTGATGAAATGTGATTTAAGTCTTGCACACATGTGTGTGCACATCTTAAAAATTGTTTTGATAGTTTAAGAACATTTTTAAGAAAATTATATCCCCTCCCCCTTTCCCTTGTTTAAGAAAATAGTAAACCCTCTGAAAAATGCGCACTTATTTTACTTTTTGTGCACTTGTTAAAAAGGTTGTTCACTAATATTTCAATATTTTATTATGGCACATGTAAAAATATAGCTCAGTGTCTAGTGTGCACACAAAACACTGAATAATTTATTAATTTAATTTTGTCAAGCATTTAAAAACTAAGTAGTTAGCAAGTATAAATGGAAAACAAACAAACAATAAAAACAGAAGCAAAAAAAGTATATAAATTTGTTAAAGTATATTATAGTAATGATTATTTTAATTTTTTTTGTTTATGATCATTTATTTTAAAGTTATTTATTACTATATTTTCATGATTAGCTGGAAATGGTGACCAATTGTTAAGCATTGGATTATGGGAAACATGTAAACAAACACTGCCAGATAAAAGTTGGGAATGCCACAAATATTCAACAGTTTCATATGAAAGTCCATTCAAAAGTAATTTTTTCATTAAGTTTTTGATTTTCCTTATAATTTAATTATTTATTTATAAGTGATAATTTTTGGTCAAAATTTATTATACTAACATTTTTTTATTTATTCATTGACACTTAGCTACAAAATGTGCTATTATACATAAACTCAGGGGCGACCCTAGGTTTTTCTGGCCCTAGGCACAGTGCTGGATTAAAGGGGGCTAGGGGGCTATAGCCCCGGGCCCCAAGAAGTCTTAATCTGCCACTGCCTAGGCAGCCAGGACAGTGTGCTTCCTGGCTGCTGTGGCCCCGCACGGGGCTCTAACTTCACATTTTCTACTTAGTATGTGCGGCCAGAGATGATATAGGTGCAGGCCCCCTAGGGCTGCCTGGCCCGCGGGGCCCTAGGCGGCCGCCTATCCCAGTGGCGTAGCTACCATATAGCAAAGTAAGGCAATGCCTCAGGGCCCAAGAGTTGAAAGGGGCCTTTTTAGCTTTGGCCACAGCACACAGCCGCTTTTATATTTAATTTTATATAAACAATTTGAATATTTTATCTAGTTTTCATTGCGATTCTAATTTTTTACTTTATAGAAATCTTTCAGTTAATTAGTAATCCCCTCCCCTTTTTATATAGATTTCTCCTAATATGTAAATTACCAGTGTTTTTATTGGTCGATTTTAAAGTTAACACGCGTTTTTTCCGGACCATTAGTAACAGTTTTAGAAATGCTAACATTAACATGCACGTGTAGCCTCAAAAATATGTATTCGTAACGGTTGCTGAGGTTTTTAACGTTGTTTAAATATCCATTGTATTTTTCTAATAGAAAAAGACAAAATAGAAAATTTCTATTCATTGTTTCTTTTCTTTATATCTCCCTTTCTCTTAAGAAATTTACGTTTTCCGTTTTTCTTCTTTAGATTATCTGAAGCATTGCAATAACCATATAGTTCTTTCTGTTTAGGGAGTTTAAAATTGTACAATTTATCCTGATCATTTCCATGTTATAAGAAAACATGGAACTATTAAAGAGTAAAAGTGGGTTTCAAAAAAGAAAACTTATAAAACAGAAAGAAAAAGCATTAAATAAATTACCAAAGCTAAACAAGTTTATTATTAAAAATAATAACCAAGAGAGTACTCCAGATGATGCATCGATCGAATATGAATGTTATAATGAGTTAAATATTTTAGAGAAAGGTTATAGAGAAGTGATTGCTTGTAAATCAACTAAAGCAGACTGAAGCGATGGAGAAATTAAAAAAATTTCAGATGAAATAGTTGACACTGAAGATGCTCAGGAAGTTTTAACAGGTATTAATGAAAAAAATATCATTTATACAAATACCGCTATATGTAGTGACCTAGGAAAATACTTAAATCAGAACATTTCTGATGAAACCAAAAGATTACTGATAAGCATTCCTGATCACAGACCTAAAGGACCATTTCCCAAAGATCCTAGTCAACAGAACAGAAGTTTCAGTTGGCCCAGTTCCATGATTATGGATTTGTTATTCAAGTGTGTTGGACGCAGTATACTGTCAACCTTGTTGGCTTTTTTCAAGCATCAAAAGTCAATGGCAATCGGGGATAAAGGATTGGAAAAATTTATCACAAAAGATACAAATGCTCAGTTCATTTCAACATCACATTGAAGCCTGTGCGGTGCTCGAATTATGGAAGAAAAATAAAACCATCAGAAGAAAAATAAAACCAATAAAACCATATATTTTTTGAAGCAAAATTTTTGTATTATTCCTATAAAATTATTTTGGACAAGGGCCCCCCAACTAAAATATAAAATATTTTTGTTGGGGGGCCCTTGCACTGGTTTTTGCCTCAGGGCCCAAAAATCCTAGCTACGCCACTGGCCTATCCCACCTATGCCAAGGGCTGCCTCTGCATACACCTATCATTTTGTGATGATTTTATGATACATATGATACAGATTTTTATTTTTTATAGTTTTATTTTTTAAATTTTTGCTCTCTATTTTTTATAGTTTGCTTTAAAATATTAAATTAAAATATAAAATTTTTGCTCTGTTTATTATAATAGTGGATTACAAGTTGTTATCTTGGCATTTTTTTAAATATTATTTTATATTTGTATTTTAATTATGTTTGACAACCTTGTGTATGCACAATGTTGTGCACAAATTTCAGTTAATTTGTGTATACAACAAATGTACATACATTGACTGAAGTAGGGAAAAAGAAAACTATGTTATTTTCAATACACCACAACAAAATCACAGACAAAAACAGAGTTGACCATGATTTTATACTGATAGTTAAAAATTAAATAATATCAATAAAATAAACACTCATATGAAAATTTAGCTTATATGAAATTAGAGTGTTTTGGTTTATTAATGTACTTTATTTATTTGTTTTGTTATTTGTTTCTTTTTATATTTTTATTTTTTTATTTTGATGTTGTAATGTAGTAATTATTTTTTTAGTTTATATTATTTTATTTCATTAAATATTTTGACTAATAATAATTTTTTTTATTTTATTATATGATATTTAAGCGTTTATTTTTGGTAATTTGTAATTTTTTTTTTTTTTTCATTTTTTATTTCATTATTGTTCATTCATCATGAACTCTTCATACATTTTGTTGCTGTTTTTATGTGCTGTATTTTTGTGTGCTGTGTTTTTTCTTTCTATTTCTGTCTGTTTTTGCTGTGTTTTAATTGCTGTTTTTTTTGTTTGTTACGCTTATGTAGAAATTTTTTGTTGATTTTTTGTATTAATTATAATATTATTGTGGTTGCATGTTGTAAGCTCTATCATTATTATTATATATTTTGAGCATAAGCATATTAGTATTTTATTATTATTTTTGTTGATTTTTTTGTTGTTGTTGATTTTATTTAGGTGTCACTCCATTGACTATTTTTAACTAAATGAGTGACACCTAACCTGATTTTGTAAAAAGTTTGATAAAATTCACAATTTTCAATTTTTGGTTGCATAAATGGATAAAAAAAATATATCACTAAAATAATAAGTTAAAAAATCTTTGTAAAAACAAAAAAAATTCTAAATAAATGTTTTGCTATTAAATGTAAGGTATGTACTCTAATGCATAGAAAAGTGCAGTGTGAAAAATATTAAAAACAAGATTTTTTTAACAATAACTTATTTAGGGATTGTCTTTTTTTTGATATTTCTAGAATTTCTTTTAAGTTTTATTTTTTCCTGATAAGTAGTTATTCAGAAATACAAGTTAAAAAATATTTTTTTGTAACTTTGTCATCGAATAATTAAAACAGTAAAGGGAACGCTCATAAATTATAGAACACTATATTTAGTTAGATGACATTATTTTTATTTGTGTGCAACTAAAAAAACCAAAATGAATCCAAGTTTTTCTACGACAAAACCTTTTTTTCTGTACAAAAACTTTATTTTACAAATAAAATAATTTGTTTTATTTTATTTGTAAAGTAAAGTAGTCCATAAATTACACAACGCCTAACTTATTTAAAAAACTTAAGATCTTTTACGCAGTGATTTTTATTAAACTATTTCGATTTTCCATTTAATTTTCACCAAAAAATAAAGGTTTTAAATCAGACACAATTACATGCTTAAATCACACACAGTCACACACTAAAATCACATACTCTTCTGACATCTTAGCTAGATTGGCTCACATTCGTTTTCTATAAAATTTTGTTGCAATTTTGTATGCAATTTTGTTTTGCATTGTAAACTGAATAAGCATTTTTTTAAATAACAATCAGAAAAAGTCGTTAAAGCTTTATTTTTGGCATTTCTACAATCACTGTCACAAAATATAGAATACAATAATAACTTTTACAATAATAACAATAATAATTTTTTTTGCCGACCTATTGCCGACCTCTAAAAGATTGATAAAATGAATGCCAACCTCTAAAAGATTGATAAAAATAAGGCCGGAAATATTTTGCCGACCTCATTTTTCCTAATTCCAATGGTTGCTTATATAGAAGTCTGATGAAAGCAGTGACACCAATTATTAAATATATCATGAATAATAATACACATTAGAACATAAATTAGTAAAGATCATAATTTGCAGGTAATAATAAATAAGGAAAGAACAAAATAAACAGTAATAATAATACTAATAATTGAAATAATAACAACTCATACACAATGAATTTCTTGTTCCATTTATCATAGTTTTATTATATTTATCATAATTTTATATATTTATTTATCATAATTTTATATAATTATTTATTATAGTTTTCAGTTTTGTTAGATGTTATAGATATTTTAGTAGAGTATGAGTAACTTTCTTTAAAAATGATAATATTGGCTTATTATTGAGCATTAAATCCTTTTTGACTAATTCCCATTCCAAAATAAACTTGTCCACTATTACCTTTTGATATTGGTTTTTACACCATGCTTTTGTATTTCTAAAGAGTCCAGCTTTAAATCGTTTTTGCTTGCAAACTAAGTCAATGTTAATGTTAACTGAAGCATATCTTGTAATAAGGTCCATCGATTCTAGCAAATTCTTAATACAATTTTTTTTGTTTACAAATCAATGCAGGGATATTTAGCATAAGTTAAAAATTTTTGAGTGAACATTATTGACCTTAACTGCTTTGTGTGCATTAGGTTTTTCTGTATATAGGAAGTGGGGCATAACCGCCCCTGTAACCTTTGGATTATTGTTATATGCAAATAAAAAATGATATGGGTTTTTTTAACAGTTAATTTCAATAACCACACTATTAAGCTTTAAATTGCTGCAATAAAGAAAAAAGTAAAACGGTTTTTGAAAATACTATTACACAAAAATTAGACTTTATGAAAAAAACGGTTTTGCCACCATTGTAAGGCACAACGGAACCCTCACAAAAATCGTTGGGAATACGCTTTTTGTGGTACATTTTTTTTACAATTCTCACAGCTCAGAATATTTTGCTGATTCTGTTGCACGTTTGCATACTGTGTAGGCATTCATTGTATTTACAGTCTGAGTTTTGTCATTCAATATATATA